ATTTAAATGATATATAAGATTATAAGAAAAGATGATATAAAAAAGTTATCTCAAACTCATTTTCTAAATTTTCAATTCTTTTTTTTTTCAACTTATCAAATCTCAAACATTTCAAAATTTAATTACATGAGTAATTAATACGGTTAATTCAAGATGCACTTAAAAAACACTTCATTTATCACAAAATAATTGTTTAATTACTTAAATTCATCCCCAATTAATTACTCCTATTATTTTTTTATTTTTTAAGATAAATAAATATTTTTTTTTGATATTTAATCTTATTATTAAATATTTATTTTAATTAATTATTTTGTTACAAAAAGTCTCATTTTACTTTAAGTTTACCTACAAGATAACAAGTAATAATTGTGTAATTGTTGCTATTTATTTTAAAAAAGATGAAATTGATTTTTATTTTAGTTGTAAATATCATGTATTAGCTTTTTATTTATTCATTTTGAAATTAAAATCAAATTTTTTTAATTTAAAATTTCACATTTTTGAAAGAAAATAGAACAATTATTAAACCAATAATTACTTCATATCATGTGTCTTAAGAGTATGAAATAGATAAGTTTTTTTTATCTTTTATATTTTTTTCTAAGAATAATATAGTAAATACATAAATTATTTCCAAATTTTGAACATGACCCAAAAAAAAAAAAAAAGTAAAAAGCAATAATTATTAGGACAAAGGGACTAAGTTATTTCAAGTTAAATATTTTTCAAATTTAATTACTAAATTTTTTTTTTTAATCTTTGTCTTTAAAATGGTAATAAATATATCTTTTTGTAGTCATTTTAGAGTGATTAATTTTATTAAATTAGTAATTGAAAATCTATATGGTCTATGGGGGCTTTTAGGATTGTAGTAAGGTGATGTGAGAATACTGAATTGTATTATATATTATAACTATGGATGAACATTATTTTGATATTTGATTATTTATTTTTTTAAAATATTATATATGACATATAATAAAATTTATTAATTATTAATTAAAATTT